AGCAGAAAAAGCGTGAATGAAGAGAATCCATTTGAACAAAACGCAAATCAGCTTTGTCAGCTACAAAAATGAATATAGCTTGTAAAGGGGGTAGGGCAAACACCCCATGGCAAATGGCTCTTGAGGATTACAAGCGGGCAGGGGATTATGGGTAGAAAGAAGTCTTCTATTATGCAAATTGAATAAAATGGTAGCGTTGAATGTGAATAAATGTAATTCTTCTAGGCACAGCGAGTCATCAAAGTAACAAATCAGTTCAAGTGAAAGACAAATGTAACAAATAACAGGTGATAAAGTGCTGTTTGTAGTGTCTCTCGCTTTTTAAATCCCTTTTTTTGGCTTACATTGGCAGGTGCCACCTGTATGGTGAGATGGACTTCGCAGTACAAACATGAATACAAAGACAAAGCACAGAAAATAAATGTAGACTGCAGGGCATTTTAAGAGGTCAAGCCTGGAATTTTTTGATAAGGTTTTTTTTCCCCATACTTCAGATCCAGTGTGAGAAAAAACAGCTATAAGCAAATTGTGGATTGTTTTAACGTCTCTTTAAAGCCACAAATCTTACAAAAATATAGATTACGAAAACTGACAGACGTTATCCACAGCGAACTCTTGTCCTTATTCCTGGTCTTTACTTGACTCCCAAAGCAGGTTCTGATTGTCTCGTGTGGATGCGAACAGGTGTCAGTGGATGTAATTGTCACCCCGCCAGTCGGGACATGCGTCGGTTCCTCCAGGCTGGTCTCAGCTCCCGCACCAGGAGTGGAATGATGAATAAGAGGGTAAGGAAAGTCTGTGGGGACAGAAAAGCATAAGCTTTAGTTAGCAGTTTGCCAATTGGTTGTCATATAGGCTGAACAAGAAAATAACTGTATAAAAAATCTGTTAAAATGACAGTTGTCAGTATGCATTGGCAGCCAGCCTCGACTTTGTCTGGGATCCAAATGTTAAGAAAAAAAAAAAATCAAATGTGGTTCAAAGCTGCAGCAAGAATTTATAATATAGTGTGAAGGTTTTTGTAACATGAATGAATATAAATAAAAGAGGCCCATGACATCACCGGGAATGCAGCCTATCCACTCATGACACACCAGTGACATCACCGGGAATGCAGCTTATCCAATAACTAAAGACCAGTGACACCACCGAGTATGCAGCCTATCCAATAACTAAAGACCAGTGACACCATCGAGTATGCAGCCTATCCAATAACTAAAGACCAGTGACACCACCGAGTATGCAGCCTATCCAATAACTAAAGACCAGTGACACCACCGAGTATGCTGCAGCCTATCCAATAACTAAAGACCAGTGACACCACCGAGTATGCAGCCTATCCAATAACTAAAGACCAGTGACACCATCGAGTATGCAGCCTATCCAATAACTAAAGACCAGTGACACCACCGAGTATGCAGCCTATCCAATAACTAAAGACCAGTGACACCACCGAGTATGCTGCAGCCTATCCAATAACTAAAGACCAGTGACATCACCGAGTATGCAGCCTATCCAATAACTAAAGACCAGTGACATCACCGAGTATGCAGCCTATCCAATAACTAAAGACCAGTGACATCACCGAGTATGCAGCCTATCCAATAACTAAAGACCAGTGACATCACCGAGTATGCAGCCTATCCAATAACTAAAGACCAGTGACATCACCGAGTATGCAGCCTATCTTCTCATCAGAAAGCAGTGACATCATTGAAGCAGTACTCATCTCCCCTGAGAATGCAGCCTATCTACTGACTAGAGAGACCAGTGTTATCACTGCAACCTATTCAATTACAACCAGTGATATCAATGAGAATGCAGTCTATCTATTCACTAGAGGCCAGTGACACCCCTGACAATGGGGCCTATCTGTTCACTTCAGATCAGCCAAGCTGCAATCCCAAACACCAATTCACATCTGCATTACTTTAGCGGTTTAGTCTGGAAGCGGTCTGCTTTCAATTTAACAGGGACACCATGACCCTATTTAGTGGAACAGTAAACTAACCTTTGTATATCGTGATCACAATCTGTCCTCAAAATGTTTACTTTCTGGTGCAAGTTATTTGCACAATATTTGGCTGCTTCATATGACTGGCATTCTGCTCCTCATACACAAAAACCCAAGAAGCTTGTAAGCCTCAAATGACCAAAACACTAAAATTACCATCTGGGTGGCTGGGTACAATTAGATCATTTGACTCCCCAAGAGACAACAGGTCAACGGCAGGACATGGATGAATCTGTACATCACTACAAAGTAACCACGGAACTTTAACATAGGCACCCAAAGCATTAGCAGAAGAGCCTGCATTAAAACTAAAATCCAGGCAAGCAGCTAAATACACAGAGCAGTTTCAACTGCCACATAACTTTTCTATCCATTTACTCCTGAGATCAGCCAAGCTGAAGACACTTTCTCTGTTACATTTAAGGAATGAAGAAGGAATACAATGATGTTCTCACTTCAGACTAACTGGATAGTGAAGATTGTTGAAGTTATTCCACTGCTGTCTCCTATCAGCATGATCCTTGTTAGCACATCTGCATGCAATACACTTTACTGGCTTCCATATCCTGCCACAGCCTTTTCCCAGCCTGAGCTCTGCTGTATAGGGGCTTGCAAGAGGCTCATACCACGCCAAATTAAAGTGGTTATCCTAGCTGCATTTAAAGAAAAGGCATCTAAATAAGTATTAATAATTACAAAGCTGCAATAATGTGTGTTTTTTTATATCTGCTTGGAGTTCAGTTTTAACAGCCTGTTGCTTCTTTTTAGCATTTTACAGCAGTCCAGATAGAATATACTGAAGCCACTATGCTGTATGCCAGGGGTCTTCAAACTCTTCAAAGGGCTGGTTTACTGTCCTTCAAACTTTAGGAGAGCCGGATTGTGAACAGGGGGGGTAGAGAATGTCCTGGGCCCAGCATCAGTGAAAATAAACAGGGGGTACTATTCCTCCCATTAATGTCCATCATTGGTATTAATGGGAGAAATAATGCCTCATCATTGGTATTAATGGGAGGAACAGTGCCCCATCTTTGGTATCAGTGTAAGAAATACTGTCTCTTTGTTGGTGTCAGTGGGAGGAATAGTACCCCATATGATTGGAAGGAATAGTGCCCCAAGGGCCGGAAAAAGGCTAGCAAAGGGCCTCATCTGGCCCTAGGGCCTCAGTTTGGCAACCCCTGCTGTATGCTCTAGGAAAATAAATCTGAATGGCTAATTTCAACCAGGGAACGTTGTGTTAAAAATGAAAAGTCCTCTCATTTCACCTCAATTCATACAGGATATAAATATAGACAGAAGGCCTCAGGATCTCCATGTCCCATGGGATTACAGTTAGACTGCAGAGATTCTAAAGGGCAAAGCTGGGAACCTCTGTCTGTGGAATCAAACAACTCTTAACACTCTCTCGGTGTTCTCAGAGCATCACTTTTATCAGTGATCTGTAAACATTATAGACAAATGAGGCAGCCCTGGGCAGGCAGGCTGTGACCTTTGTATATAGGTTTGTTCTACATTTTTAAGTTTAACTAAAGTACAGCTTTGAAAATTTTAGCTAACAGAAGCCATTTTTTGTCTAGATGAATGCTTTTGATCGTTTAAAGACACCAAATGACATGTGTAGATGACAGCACTTATGTCACTCAAAAGGCATCTTGGGACTCCTGTAAAGCAATACATGCCAGAGGCTAAGCAAGACACAGTGCACTATGGGAAAAAAAAACGATCACAGCAATGGTGTTATAAAAAAGAATAGAAGATCATTGTGTGCCCTAGCTAGACTTCAGAATCTCCCAAATGACATTCACAGCTAGGAGGAGAGTTTATGGACATGGGAGTGAGATTTTTTGATGTGTTTTACTCTGTTCAAACTAATCCTTACTATCAACCAGCAAGCTGATCGCTCATGTAATCAGTGGCACACTGAGGTGCTGTTCCTGTTGCAAATCAGTCATCTGGGCAGATCCCGACCGATGTCGGCCGACAGCAGACTTTAGCCTGCTGTCGACAAGATCTGTGTCACAGGAATTCAGAAATAAGTGCACTACTGTGACCCACAAGAGAAGTATGGCCTTTAGATCCACTTTATTTATAGAGCATTTCTTCCCCAAGGCTGGTTAACTGTACCATTCATTATCAGTGTGGACAGGCCAGCTATTACAGGTACAGTAAGTAAAAAGCATTTGTAAAGCTTTCAGCTAGCTTCAAGCAATTTTTATGAAACCTTTAAAATTTTTCGATGACAGACCAATTTTTCTATATGCATGCTATAAAGCATATTTTAAAGTGGATCTGAACATTCAATGTGAAGATAAACCTATGATTCCCAAGCAGTACACTGAACAATGTAGCTATTTGTCTTGAATTTCTCCTGAAAAATAGTACTGCACATCCTGGTATGCGAGGATGGCTAGGCACTCCTAGCCTGCCTACATCCTCACAACTGTATTTCTGCAGCGTGAGATCTAAGGCACTGCTGCATCTGAATATGTCTCAGGAGATTTGGTGTAAGATTCGGTAATGTCACTTCTGTGCCGTTCACTGTTCTCCTTGCTGGGTGCTCTGACATGAGAAAGCAAAGCCCTGCATTGACCAAGATCACTGCCCCGACAAAGAGCCAAAGTCAGTAACATGGAACATATCGACCACAGGTAACACCAATTGACCAGTCCTTTCCGCTCTGTCTGCTTTCTTGGCACAGCTTCCAGAATTCAGTTTCTGTCCAAGGCCACTGCATGACAACCTAGGGGGTCAAAGCAAACATAGGACTGAGCCAATGTCCAATCAGTAAAACCAAAACAGATTTGGTGCAATTAAATATAATCTGCCCTAGAGGGTGGACAGTAACAGTTCTGAACCTTAGATCAGTCAAGCAATGAATGGAACCGTCTGTTTTATTGTTACCAGCCCTTATGAGGTCTCAATACATGAGAGGAAAAGCAAAATTTCTCTCTAAATAGAATATTCAGTTTCTTCCAGTTGTCATAATTCAGCTCTGCTGTGCGCGATTGGATCTTACCATAAGAATGAAGAAATAAAAGACCCACATCCAGCTCAGTCCTCCCTGGATCACTGACACCAGAACCTGGAAATTAGAGCAGAGTTAGATATGAGACCCACAAAAAGACTGATATTCTATGAGGATCCTCTGTCTGTATGTGGTGTAAAATGTATGCACATAACAAAGCACTCCAATGCTCCTTTATACTAGGCAAGGCTACTATAATCTGGCCCGAAGGATTTTTAATAGCATGAGGAAAGGTTAAACCTCATCAGGTTTTTTTTTTTTCTTGCTGCCTGCGTCCCACTGGGGAAACTTCCTCTCACTTCCTTCCCCATAATGTAAAGAGAAACAAAAGGAAATCTATCCAAAGTGAGAGAAATCCTCACTTAGACAATTGTCGCCACATTGTCCCCCATTAAAGGACTCCCTCTCTATTCCTGGTTCCAAGACAACTCACTTCCCGCACTTCGGTCCCAGTGACAGTGTGAACTGTAAGGGCTCGTTCACACTTGACTGTTTTACCAACGCTTGCAAAACGCACCTATAACATTTGGCAAGTGTTGGTCCGGTGTTTGCGGAGCGTTTTTTAACGCTAGGCAAACGCCACATGCGCGGTTTAGCGGCGGTTGCTAGGCGTTTGCCGAGTGTTAAAAACGCCCCACAAACGCCTATAATGAAGTTTGAACGGTGTTACCGCTCCGCAAACGCCCCGCAACCGCACCGCAAACGCCGGCTGGGCGTTTGCGGAGCGACACCATAGACTAGAATAGGAGGCTTCAACTCCTCCTGACTCGACCAGAGGCGTCCATTTTGCCGCGATGCTAACGCTCCCGTTAGAACAGCACCATATGCTGCAATGTGCAGAATTGTCAGAGGCGTTTGGGAAGCAGTAAAAACGCTTCCCAAACGCCTCTCTGCCGCCTGCACACAACGCTAGTGTGAACGTAGCCTAAGACTGCTCACTGGGAGCGCTAATCTCCCTCCCCAAAGAAATTCCAAGTACAAACCCACCCTACTATAATCATAACAATTTTCTTGTCTCAGTTAAAGAGAACAAGTCTCAAATAAAGAAATACCAAGTCCTAAATTATTATAATTGTGAGGTATTACTTATGAAAGAATTACTGTATATATGCTGCCTTACTTAGCTTTACTTTTGAGCCTGACACTTTAGTGTCAGGTCAGAGATCACTTGAAGTCACAGCAGTCGCCATGAAAACTGCTTGACCTCACACCCTATTCCCCCAGCTTCGGAATGCCTAAACAAAGTCCAAAAACATAGGCCTAAGGTAAAAAGAAATCTAAAACTAAAAAGGTTATTTGTCTCCGTTATGTACTGTCAGGAGCCGGGAGACAGTCTGAGAGGCTGGTGAGTTTACAAAGCAGCAACTGTAGGACTTTCAAAAGAATGTGAAGAAATTAACACTTACTGTGCCTAAAAACTGGTGGAAGAGATGTGTGCCACATTAAAAGGAGCAAGAAAAGCAGCAAAAGCCGTCCTGCTCAATATGCCATGTCTGGCACAGACACAGCATATTAAACAAAAATAAACATAACTGAAGGGTTTGCACCCCTGTTAATTAGACTCAGGTTCTGATTCATTTTCTCAGTTTGAAAGAGTCAAGCTCCACTTTATGAAACTATTTGAACTCATCATATAAATATTTTCAAATGTCACCTCTTGCACATTATTTGGCAATCTACACCTTAAATATAATTGACAGGTAACAGCTAAGGCTGTTCATGGGGGTATCAGATCAATTACGCATCAATATTCAGTTGCTACTGTAGGCACAAAGGACAGGTAAATTAGTACCCTCTTCAAACCACAAACCTTTGCTCCACATGTGTGTACTCACTTGGCCCACAGCAGCTCCCATGCTTCCAGTTCCATCCACAATGCCGGTTACCGTAGCTAGTGCCTCACTGCTGCCTCTAACCATTTCCTGTCGGCCCAGGTCTGCAGAGATTGCCGAGCTGATCATGTTTGAGGGACCGCCAATGAAAAAGCCTAAAAAGGACAAGGCTCACGACTAATTATTACAGGAAACAATAAAAAAAATAATACATACCATTATGGCAATTGTGCCATTAAAATAAAAGGGTTACTGTATATCTTTAAGTCAAAACAGATTATATTTTTTATATTAGGATTCCAAAAAAAGCATTCAAGTTGCAATTTCTGGTGTAGATAATTTGCTACCAGACTCCCTGAGATGAAATGAGAGAACATGCAATTCAAGCTGACATCAAGCATGTAACATTGAAGTGTCAGTTTGTGGTAGGCTGGCCTTTAAAGAGGACTTACCAGTGATTGCCATTAAGAAAGCATTCAAGGGCTTGTTATTTGGGGAGCCTAGAGAGAGGGAAAAAAACAATTATAATTTATTCTAATACAGCATGGAAACATAAACCTTTTTTATATATAAAACGTACAAAGTATAGTTTAGATGATCTCTGAAAAACACATCAATGTGTAGAATAGCCATTACAGGGCTGAAGGCAGCTACGTTGCATTATAGGAAAAACAGGTTATTTATCTGTATTATTCAATTACTTAAAGTATACATAAACCCAGTAACAAAAAAATTCATATAAGTCTTAAAGTTTTAGTTCCCCTTTACATTTTTCTGAAAAAGGTGAACACCGGACACCTTCCCACTCCCTCTGGTACCCACTGTACTTACCTCAGTGGTTGCCAAGCTGACTGGTTAGCATTGTCACACTGATAATGTTGACCAATCAGAATGCATCTGGTCCACCCTGGAAACACTGATGAAGAAGAGGGAGCTAGAGCGGCTGTGAGGGTGTCAACAGCTCAGCAACCCTGAAGGTACGTACTGTGCGGGCCTTGGGGATGGGGAGGGTTTACCTTTACATACACTCCAAAAGACAGGTTTAGGATGACCAACCCAGATTCAATCAGAGAAACCAGCACTAGCAGTGATGTAGTGTGAGCGCCTTAACTAAATAAAAAAAATGTTGAGGAAAAAATGATGCTAGCAAATTAGAAAAAAAAAACATGTCCATCCTCTTAGGACACTAGTAAAATTGTCATATTGATAATAGGAGAGGATATCCTATGATAGCCTACTTTTTTTCCCCTCGTTTTCCAGGATTATACTGCTCTAGACTGCAGTATAATCCAAGGGTTATGACTTCCTGTCTTCCCTCAATGGATGAAATAAATTACACTTTTTTTTAATGCACCATAGTATGTTGTTAATAACAAACTACAAATAATTCAGATAGGGTTGCATCTACTTTAGAAAATGCCAAAACTATGTGGACATGCAAATAAATCAAACGTTTATATTACTGTCAAGGAAAACTGGTTGTAATCTCTAGTGAAACCACAAACACACCAATAGAACACACACACTTCCCCTTTCTCTCAACACACACAGACTTGGCCTAGATCTTTCAGTCCTTCAAAAAGCTATCTAACCGTTAACGCTGTGTTCAAAAAAATAATGTTCACACTACATTTGCATTGCCCTGTGGCACAACCTCTGTGTCACGTTAGTTATCAGTCTACTGGGAACACAGGTGCAGTACGTGCTCCTTTTTAAGTACCGTATTTTTCGCTCCAAAAGACGCAATTTTTTCCCCCCAAAAAAGGGGGGAAAATGTCAGTGCGTCTTATGGAGCGAATATAAAGCGGCCGGTCCGGTATTTTTGCGGCCACCATGTCAGAACACCGGGCCGGCCGCTCAGCTGTTGTCTCCTGCAGGGCCTTACCTGTTCCTCGCTCCAGCGCTGCACACTCTTCCCGCGCTGGCTTCTGTGACAGCCGGGTGCCCACTGCGCATGTGCTGCGCTTTGTGAATGATCCAGTGTCTTCTGGGACACATGAAAGGTCCCAGAAGGCGCCGGGCCATTCACAAAGCGCAGCGCTTCTCGCACATGCGCAGTGGGCACCCGGCTGTCACAGAAGCCGACCCGGGAAGAAGAAGGAAGGACAACTCCGCGGAAGTGGGAGCGGGTACCTGTCAAATTCAGGTACCCGCTCCCCCTCCCTCCCCAAAGGTCAGCAGTCTCTGGCCGTCCCCTGCACTGTGTCCGCAGTCTCTGGTCGTCCCCTGCACTGTGTCCGCAGTCTCTGGTCGTCCCCTGCACTGTGTCCGCAGTCTCTGGGAGTCCCCTGCACTGTGTCCGCAGTCTCTGGGAGTCCCCTGCACTGTGTCCGCAGTCTCTGGGAGTCCCCTGCACTGTGTCCGCAGTCTCTGGGAGTCCCCTGCACTGTGTCGCAGTCTCCCCCTGCACTGTGTCCGCAGTCTCTGGTCGTCCCCTGCACTGTGTCCGCAGTCTCTGGTCCCCTGCACTGTGTCCGCAGTCTCTGGGAGTCCCCTGCAGTCTGTCCCCTGTCCGCAGTCTCTGGTCCCCTGCACTGTGTCCCCTCTGGGAGTCCCCTGCACTGTGTCCGCAGTCTCTGGTCGTCCCCTGCACTGTGTCCGCAGTCTCTGGGAGTCCCCTGCACTGTGTCCGCAGTCTCTGGTCGTCCCCTGCACTGTGTCCGCAGTCTCTGGTCGTCCCCTGCACTGTTTCCGCAGTCTCTGGTCGTCCCCTGCACTGTGTCCGCAGTCTCTGGTCGTCCCCTGCACTGTGTCCGCAGTCTCTGGTCGTCCGCTGCACTGTGTCCGCAGTCTCTGGTCGTCCCCTGCAGTGTCCGCAGTCTCTGGTCGTCCCCTGCACTGTGTCCGCAGTCTCTGGTCGTCCCCTGCACTGTGTCCGCAGTCTCTGGTCGTCCCCTGCACTGTGTCCGCAGTCTCTGGTCGTCCCCTGCACTGTGTCCGCAGTCTCTGGTCGTCCCCTGCACTGTGTCCGCAGTCTCTGGGTCGTCCCCTGCACTGTGTCCGCAGTCTCTGGTCGTCCCCTGCACTGTGTCCGCAGTCTCTGGGAGTCCCCTGCACTGTGTCCGCAGTCTCTGGTCGTCCCCTGCACTGTGTCCGCAGTCTCTGGTCGTCCCCTGCACTGTGTCCGCAGTCTCTGGTCGTCCCCTGCACTGTGTCCGCAGTCTCTGGTCGTCCCCTGCACTGTGTCCGCAGTCTCTGGTCGTCCCCTGCACTGTGTCCGCAGTCTCTGGTCGTCCCCTGCACTGTGTCCGCAGTCTCTGGTCGTCTCCTGCACTGTGTCCGCAGTCTCTGGTCGTCTCCTGCACTGTGTCCGCAGTCTCTGGTCATCTCCTGCACTGTGTCCGCAGTCTCTGGTCATCTCCTGCACTGTGTCCGCAGTCTCTGGTCATCTCCTGCACTGTGTCCGCAGTCTCTGGTCATCTCCCTGCACTGTGTCCGCAGTCTCTGGTCATCCCTGCACTGTGTCCGCAGTCTCTGGTCATCTCCTGCACTGTGTCCGCAGTCTCTGGTCATCTCCTGCACTGTGTCCGCAGTCTCTGGTCATCCCCTGTACTGTGTCTGCAGTCCATTGGTTCAGAATATTTTTTTTTCTTGTTTTTCACCTCTAAAACCTAGGTGCGTCTTATGGTCAAGTTCGTCTTATGGAGCGAAAAATACGGTAACATTCAAAAATATATCCATTTCATTACAGTATGTTAAGTAACGTGTACTGCTTTAAACTACAACTAAGAGCTCCCCCCCCCCAAAAAAAAAAAAAAAAAAAGTGTGCTGCTGCACCTAAACATAAGTGCATGTGCACCGACTGTTTTTATCTTATTCCCCTACAAAAGTCCGACAAGTACTTGTTGCTCCTGTCAGTAAAGTTCACCTAATGCAGCTTCATGTGATCATGTAGAAATAACACTGCACTTCTCCTGAATTCACAGCAGAGTTGTCACTCTCATGTAGGCTGTGCTTGCTGCACAAACAATTGTTGCAGGAAGCATGGGTATCAGCATTTTCACTGTTGATTGACAAGCTGTAGCTTGTCAATCATCACCCTGCCAAACCAAGACCTGTCTCCTGTTTTCTGGATTTACAGGACTGCCTTTGCTGCTATAAACCTCCCACTGTGAACTGCAGTGTCTGGGAGGGCAAGAACATGAGAGCTTGTGCATCCCACAGTAACTGGGTTTGGTACTTGTCACACAGAATATTTTAGTTGTATTTTAAAGTTCCACTCTGGGCTGCTGTTAAAGTTCTACAGTTAGTCTGCATCATATGTTTTTTTTCTGCCTGTCAGAGTTCCCCCTATAACAGTTTTGTTTCCCATTTTTCCTGCCAGAAGATATGTAATTTTTACACTTCCTGTAGAACAATGTTTTTCCCTCTACAGTGAAATTAGCAGCATTGTCACCATGTGGACAGGGCCTTACAAGATGGACACGTAGTTTTAAACGGACTTGGGACAAGTAAATTAAATTACAACTCCAGTTTTAAGCAGTTACAAAATCACTTTGTTTTATCTTTTGGAGGCTTAAGCCATATTTAAAAAAAAAAAAAAAAAAAAAAAAAAATGACCCCTTTTCCTTGGCAGTGTTCTATGATCTGTCCTGACCCAATGCAACAGGCTTTCCTAGAAAACGCAGCTTGTTAAAAGGAGTATAAAAACTAGAGAACAGATCTAATGGCAGGATCAACAGGAAATAAAATGGTTACAGGGGAACAAAACTGCTGTTAATTATTGACAGATTACAGAAAATATTTTATTTTTGGTTTTGTACAGTTACACATTTTATTCCTTCACTATAACACTATGGATATCGGAGGACATGTGACTTACGGCTGTATCCAAATAGGGATCCCACTGCACACACCAGACTAATAGCCAAGACAGGTGATCTTTTTTGCATGATGTCCGAGATAAACCCTTGGACTGTTCCTCCTGTGACGAGACACAAGGCACCAATCAGGACACAAACAACTGCTACATTTACAGATCACACTTTGTGATCATGTTTAAATGCTGAATACTTGTATCAGGTAAGTGACACGGAATATTAAATCCACTGGATCAACATGACAGCCAGGTAACTAGAGTTTTCAGAATGATAGGACAGCCAAATTACCCTGTGTATTTTTTTTTTTCTGAGCAGTAAAAAACAAATGTTGTATAGTCAGAGCAGTAAGAGCAGCCCAAGTATGTAAATAAGCAAATGTGGCTGCACCCTTGTACTGTGTGGGATAGAAAGATATGGATATATAGAAAGGAACATGTTGATAGGAGGTGAGTGAGCACAGGGATGACTTTGTTAATCAACTGATGCTCTATCAGCAGGCTGGGGGTGAAGGAGGATCACCAATGTATGCCTTAGCTGTATGCAATGTAAGCAATGTCATTCACTGGCTGCACAGTGTGGCAGGGCTAATTATATATCTCAGAAAAGGATGGACAGAAATACAAATTCTTTGGAAGGTAAAAATTCCAATATATGTATTTTATATGTGCATTCTGTAGTTTGGCTCATTGTAGAAAAGAGAATCATTGAAAGACCTGCACATTCCCTTCATCTCTTCATTATTCAGCTGTATTCCAGCAGCCGGTACACCTCAGTGAGTGAAACAGAGTTTTTATGGAGGGAACAGATGTGCAGTGCCAGCAGGGTGACTGATTCAGTATAATTAGGCAGCAATGGAACTTCCCATATAGTCTGATGACAGACGGCATCAATGTGGCCCACCCGCATGATTATGTTATGACTACCTCCTGAAGGCCCTTCACACCCATCATCTCTCACCAGCCTCTGCAGTTTTTTCCTTAAATTCAGTAAAAGGAAAATGTGTTGAAATGATATAAAATAAATTAAAGCTGTCCAGTCTCCAGTCTTACCTTCAGTTTTGCACGGTTGTACAGACTTCTCATCTGAACTGAAATTGCTTATTCTGATTTTACTACACACTGCGAGCTTCTCACACACAATCTGGCACAGCTGTGCATAGTAACTAATCAGCTTCTAACTTCAGCTTGTTCAATTAAAGCAGTAGTAAACTTTCCTGAATGCACACAGGAGTCTCAGCCATGGCACACAACTCTGAATGAGCGGCACAGGTATGCTGTTCCTTCAGAGCGCATACTAGTGACATCACCGGCTGCTGCTCGCTACAATATCTCCTAAGAGATGCCCATTTATGAGATATTCATTTTACCTACAGGCAAGCTTTATTATAGGCTTACCTGTAAGTAAAAATCAACATTGTTACTTTACTACTTTCACTTTAAGCTTTGACAATAAAACCTGGAAGCTGATTGGTTACTGTGCACCAGTTTTAGTAAATCTTCCCCAAGGTGTAACAGAAGCTACAGCAAGCCAGATGGAACCCGCCACATTTTCTGCCCATCCTGCATCATCTAGAGCTTTCCTCTCTAGCCTTTCATTCATTGGATTTCAGTTCTTTCACTCATGGAGGCTCAGCATCATATTGTTCTGTCCTTGGACCCCTTCTCTTCTCCATCTACACCTCCTCCCTTGGTCACTTGATAAACTCCCATGGCTTTAAGTACCATCTCTATGCTGATGACACACAAATCTATCTTTCTACTCCTCACCTCACCCCTTCAGTCTCCTCTCGCATTACTAACCTACTAAGTGACATATCGGCATGGATGTAACTCCACTTCCTCAAACTCAATCTTTCCAAAACTGAGCTCTTAGTATTCCCTCCAGCCCGTGCCCCCTCCCCTGACTTCTCCATCAAGATCAATAACACAATCATCAGTTCCTCCTCTCATGCCAGGGTACTAGGTGTAATCCTAGACTCCCATCTGTCCTTTCAGTCCCAAATCCAATCACTGTCCAAATCTTGTAGACTTCACCTCGGCAACATCTCCAATATACGACCATTCCTAACCTCTGAAACTACTAAGCAACTTATCCACTCCCTTGTTATATCTTGCCTTGACTATTGTAACTCCCTCCTCATTGGCCTACCTCATCGCAGGCTATCCCCTCTTTAGTCTATCATAAATGCTGCTGCCAGACTCATCCACCTTACTAACCGTTCTGTATCAGCCACCCCTCTCTGCCAATCCCTCCACTGGCTTCCCATTGCCCGGATAAAATTCAAAACATTAACAATAACATATAAAGCCATTTATAACTCTGCCCCAAATTACATCACCAATCTTGTCTCCAAATATCACCCAAACCATCCTCTCCGCTCCTCGCAAGACCTCCTGGTCTCTAGCTCCCTTGTCTCCTCCTCCCATGCACGTCTCCAGGACTTCTCCAGAGCTTCCCCTATCCTCTGGAACTCTCTACCCCAATTTATCAGACTATCGCCTAACTCTGCTCACTTTTAGGCAATCTCTGAAAACCTATCTCTTCAGGGAAGCCTATCCTGTCCTCAGCTAATAATGGAATCTTCTACTCTTCCAACCAGTCCATTCCCCACAGTTACTACCTTTTTTACCACTAGCCCCTCCCTCCTAGATTGTAAGCTCCAAGGAGCAGGGCCCTCCTATCCCTCTTGCATTGAACTGTATTGTTGCTGTATTGTCTCTTGCTATATTGTAAAGTGCTGAGCAAACTGTTGGCACTATATAAAACCTGTATAATAATATGTGGGCGTTACCACAGCTTTGTTTTTATAGTAGCCCCTGGCGCCAGTTATGATCTATCTGCATTGCATAGAGAAGCACAGAAATCCAGTAATGATGGCACTGGGTCTGAAATAAGGTATTTAATAAAAATGGACAGGTATATGTTATAAATTTTATTAGAATGTTGCAGAGGAGCACTGGGCAGGGCTTACAACACTGCTTGGGATTACTATAGTAAGTTAGATGAGCTCAATTAATTTGTGGAGTATCAGCAGCTATTTTTCTGTACTTGCATGCATCAATTTTTACTGGGAAAAACACGGGGAAATGTGCATATATTGCAAATATTTTTTTTTTTTTTTTAAATTTAAAATTTGTTCCCAAAACACACTTTACATTCTATCGTGCCTGAAGCATGATCTATCCCCATACCAGCTTTCAGTTCCTATAAATGGATCTCATAATAGGAATATTTCACTGACCTATAATTCCTCCGATGTCATACCAGATAGACAGCTGGTCTGCCTCCGCCTCTTTCCAGTTGAAGTTTATGCTCAGATAGAAGGGAAGCCAAAAGAAGAAAGAGTAATTCACCAGCTTCAGACAGGCGTAGGCCAGAGAATACTGCAAGCAAACAGAGGTAACAGTTACAGTGTGACCTATAACATACCAGACAAACTACACATAGGCAAGTCCCTTTAGACACAAGCCCTTTCCCATTTTGATGAGATAAAAAATAGCAAATAAAAAAAATATATAGCATACACAATTGTTACACAAACCATATTAAAAATGAATGGTATTAAAAATTACCTTTCCTTTACAATCTGCAGCCACTGTAATTTTCTGTAAAAGTCAACATGGCAACCTAAAAGTGTTCCGTACACCAATGGACCACCCACAGAAATGTCATTTCCTGCTTGTGTGATTGACTCACCGATTTTCCCAGAACTGAACACAAAAGGTACAAGTCTGATTTTGGGCATCCTCAGCATCAAAAATGTAATTTTTGGTGAAAATCCCAAAGGGTTAATCACTTTTAAGGGCACATTCACACTTGCGAGTGCACCCTGCCTGCGATTACATGCGAGAACCCCAGCGGGGGTTCCCATGCTCAGCTACAAGTAGGCAGCCCCATTGAAAGCATAGTTTCTTCATTAGAACACTGCTAGTACATCAGCTGGGTAATATTGAAAAAAATCAACAGCTTTTCTTCAAAACAGAAACAGGCAGGACTCTGCAACAAGGTTTGTTAAAATCCTTGTAATGTACATATATTACCCAAATGGGAATGTTTTTTCTCAATAAAAGTGGAGTCATTCTTTAAGCATCAGTAAAGTTGTACTGCGTCCAGGTCCATAAACCAAACCAAAAATAGAAACATTAACATCCATGGTAAGTAATCTACCCATGTACACATGTAAACACGTGTACATGGACATATGCATTAATGCATAAATATAATCCTTGGAGAATTTTACAGAGGATTACATGTCATCTGTGTGTAAATATAAAGCACTTCACAAACTTTACTTGTGTTTTTAAGCAGGATCTTTATGCCATTCTCTGTCCCTAAATAATAAGGCCCGTGTGCAAGGACCCATATAGACAAGACTTTCTTTGAGAACTGCCATTCTTACAGTCAGTCATTTTGCCACTGCAAAATTAAAAGGATAAGTTCACCTTCATACAAAAAATAATAAATACACATTTTTTTGCAGATTGCAGGAGCCTGTAAACCATTGCACCAGCGATCAGTAGATCACTAGTAGGTCTCCTGCAGATCTGTCAGTATAGCTGCTTGCCTATGCGAAATGTAAGGGCAAGCAGATATACAGACAGGAAGACTCCATGAACTACCACAGTGCTTCCCAATGCTAAGGCTGTTGGTACTTGTAGTTTCTCATTCACAGAACACAGTGAATGAGTGACATGGCCAGGCAGGCAGAGCATGGCACAGCCACTTTTTAAAAATTTGACAGCTAGCAGGGAAGAAGATCCCCAGCTAGCTGTCACAGCGGGGGGAGCAGGCGCCAGTTTGATCAGAGCATGTTACACCCTGAATATGGGTGTAACATGTAACGAAAGGTGAACTTACCCTTTAAACTTTATCCTTTATACTAACCAGGAGTCGTAGAACATAACTGAAAGTTATTAAAAGCACAACCGCGATCCAATAATGACAATTTTGAAAACTACTTGGTTTAGAAAGAAAATGTATATGTTTATACACACACTCACACACACACTCAATATAAATATCCATCTATCTATACACACTTTTCTGCAACTATGTGCAAAATAAAAAATGTACACACACACACACCTTTACCCGCTTGCCGCCTACCTACAGTAGTTTTACTGCGAGGGCAGCAGCTGCAAGTCAGGCAACGTACCTGTACGCCGCAACCTTTCTTCCACGTATGAGGCGCAATTATGCACAAGTTTGGAAGCTGATTTCAGCCAACAATTTACAAAACACAGAACTGTGTACAAGGAACAGCGACCTGTTTATTCCCCCTGCAAAACAGGGAGAATAAACCACCATGCAGTAAAGTAAAAGCAGCACATATAACACATTGTTAGGCACACGCAGCTAACCCTTTGACTGCCCCTAGATGTTAACCTCTTCCCAGCCAGTGCCATTAGTACAGTTACAGTGTACAGTATTAGCAATGATCACTGTATTAGTGTCACTATTGATGTTAGTGTCAGTAACTCAGGTACCACCCAGCCAGCGTCAGATTGCCTACCACACTATCACAGTCCCACTATAAAATGCTGATCACCATTATTACCAGTATAGCATCATGTCAGCGTAAAGTGCAGTATATATACACTATAGTTTGTAGATGCTATAACTTTCACACAAACCAATCAATATACAGTTATTGTGATTTTTTTCTTGTTTTTTTAACCAAAGACATGTAGCAGAGTACATTTTGGCCTAAATGGATGAAGAAATGAGATTTTTTGATTGTATAAGTTTTATAACAGAAAGTAGAAAATATTTTTTTTTTTTCAAAATTTTCAGTCTTTTTTTGTCAAAACTTAATTGAACAAGCTGAAGTTAGAAGTTGATTGGCTACTATGCACAGCTGCACCAGATTTTGTTAGGGTTGCTCCGGTACCAGCTTTTTAAGAACGAGCACTGATACCTTTTATCAGGTACTCGCCAATACCAATTACAGATACCTATTTTTCATGCAGTGCGGTATGATTTCAACCCATACTAAATGAACAGGCTCAAATTGCACGGCAAAGAATTGCAAAGCAGTGTGATTCCTGTCCAAATCACGTGCAATTTCCTGCACAGCTCCTGAGTTAACCCAGGCTGTAGTCACTATGACAAGCCTGGGTTCACCCAACAGCGGCGTGGGAAACTGACTTACCTGATTCATGCACTGACTGACTTGATTCCTACGCTGACCTACCTGATTGACCCTTTCCATTCATCCTGGTGACCATTATAATCAAAAAAGAAAGTAAAGGAAAAACCCAAATTTTGAGTGGTAAACAGCACAGAGGGGAAATCTTCGGAAACCTCCCCGATAGGGCACAAAATGAAAAAAAAAAAAAAACTGACAGAGGATATAGCCCTCCCTTATTCTATCCAAAGCAAAAATAAAAAAGTTTTGCCTCAGTCCTGCTTCAGGACTACCCTATCCATAGATAGACAATGCTGCTGTGTGACTTCACTCCAGAATGTTACCCCAGTGGGAAAATACATTTTTTTTTACTGGCAGGATGAACAGGTAATAAAACAGTTATGCTGGACTCCTACTTTTGCTGATTATATAAAACAGATCTTGTTTCCTAGTCCAACCTAAATACAGGCACATGAGCATTTCTAATAGGACCAATCAGATGTAAAGGATTAGTAACGGCACTTTCACACTGATCCACGGCAAAAACACATATGCGTTTTTGCTGCATTTTTACCATGCTTGCAGTGTGTTTTAAAAGGAAATTTTTTGAGGCTATTTCCATTGATTTCAATGGGGAGGGGAGTTCTTGGTGCATTTTTTTTTTTACTGAGCAAACATACTCCAAAAAGGCTGCAAGCAGATTTTTCTACACCCCAACGAAAGAGCAACGCCCCAGTCTGAAAACATACATAGGGAAGCATTTTTCATGAGCTTTTCTTGAGCTTCAAAAATTCCTAAGGGGCCTAAATGTTATACAGATACTACTGCGTGTCTTCGATTAGAGGCAGCATCGGCACATGAAGAGCAGATACAGAGCTCAATGCTGCCACCTGCTGATCCTTGAATCATCTCCCCCTGTGGAATAGGGTGGCATCTTCATGGCTATGGACTGCTCAAAGTTGGCCAAAACAGCATGCAGTTTGAGGAATAGGTGGTCCTAGCACCAACCAGCTCATCAAAGGCTGATTTCAAAATCAACTGAGTTAGTTGAAAATGTATTAGCCGAACAGTGACTGCATCCCATAAAATGCAATTCAGAAAGCAGAATGGCTGCCTGAACAAAATAGCCAACACTGGAGATTCCTCCATTCACATCTGTTTAGCGCAAATGGAGGAATAAGTTCATGGGCTGAACAAATGAAAATTAAGCTTTGTGTGGCTAGCTAAGAAGTCCACAAATGGTCTGACCATTTGCATCCTCTGACTGCGTTTCCCAATCAGCCTTCATTCTTGCCATCTACAGTGGGGAAAATAATAATTTGATCCCTGCAGATTTAGTAAGTTTGGAATGAAGTGTCTATAATTTTTTTTTTTGTTTTGTTTACAAACGTTTTATATTAAGAGCTAGACTACAAAAACCGCACTATACAGTGAGGTAGAATCAACAGCGTAAAACAAAATACATAGAGAATAATCAGAAATACAAAGCAAATTCATAGAAAGAAAATAGAAAAAATTAAAATCAAGTACATGAATGAGGTAGTCAATAATGACAGAACAATCACAAGCTCATTAATAGGTATGATGTAAACAATCCCTGATAGATCATCGCTCAAATGATAGGTGTCATTGCGCTCTCCAACCATCCCATTTACTGTCGAATAAGTGCATCCTATCAAACAGTGTATATTGAATACGTTCTATAAGCATAACCCCATCAACTCTCTGCAAGACAGAAGCCAAAGGGACTACTGGTGACTTCCAGTAAAGGGCAATAGCGCACAGAGTGGCGTTGCATATAGAGTGAATTAGCCTCATTTTGTTAAATGGGATCCCAGGAATCAACACACGCAAAAAGCAAATTTGCAAGGATAAATCCACCAGGGAGCCTGCCAGAGCAGAGGCCACTTCCGAAATTCTACACGAGATCAAAGAAAGACAAGGGCAGGCTCAAAATACATGTACAAGGGTACCAGCCAATCCACACCCTCGAAAACAGAGGAGCGATGTCCCCGGAAACATAACATGGAGTCTAGAAGGGGTATAGTACCAGCGAGTTAAAAACTTTAGGGCTGCCTCACGGACCATGAGAGATCTAGATCCCTTCCGTATATTCTCCACCATAGAATCCAAGTCCTCATCGGAAAATGTAACCCCACATTCAATTTCCCATTTCCATCTATACAAAGGAGGCATGGGATAAATGCTAGTTAAAAAGGAGCGATATAAATCTAAGATAAGTTCCTTACCCCTGGG